GAATTAACCTAGAAGGTAACACCCACAGGAAATCAATGTGAGTCAATCCCTGTATAGCTATCCTTATCTCAACCAGCAAACCCTTGTTCCTTCCTATTATTGCTTATACTCTCTCTACAACAAAATTAGAGATAAGGGCAAAATAGTTTCTGCTGGTATTGGGGGGGAGCGGGAGGGGGGGTGGGTGTAAGGGAGGGGTGGGGCAGGGGGAGAAATGAACCAGCCTTGTATGCAACATAATGCCACATAATAAAGAAAAATGATAAAAAAAATAAGGTAATCTAGCTTTAGGTTTCTCTTGCATGAAGGGCAACAAATGCTAGCTAGTTTTTAGGTGTCTTACCTATCCTCACCCCTCCTTGTGTGCTCTCGCTTTTATCATGTCCAAGTTCCAATCCCCTTGTTGTGTTTGCCCTTGACTAATCTAATGTCCACATATGAGGGAGAACATAACGTTTTTGTGGTCTTTGGGCCAGGCTAACCTCACTCAGAATGATGTTCTCCAATTCCATCCATTTACCAGCGAATGATAACCATTTCGTTCTTCTTCATGGCTGCATAGAATTCCATTGTGTATAGATTCCACAATTTTCTTAATCCATTCGTCAGTGCTGGGCATCTTGGCTGTTTCCATAACTTCTATGTGAATAGTGCGCAATAAACATGGATGTGCAGGTGCCTCTGGAGTAACAGTCTTTTGGGTATATCCCCAAGAGTGGTATTGCTGGATCAAATGGTAGATCGATGTCCAGCTTTTTAAGTAGCCTCCAAATTTTTTTTCCAGAGTGGTTGTACTAGTCTACATTCCCACCAACAGTGTAAGAGGGTTCCTTTTTCCCCGCATCTCGCCAACACCTGTTGTTGGTGGTGTTGCTGATGATGGCTATTCTTAACAGGGGGAGGTGGAATCTTAGTGTGGTTTTAATTTGCATTTCCTTTATTTGCTAGAGATGGTGAGCATTTTTTCATGTGTTTTTTGGCCATTTGAATTTCTCTCTTTTGAGAAAGTTCTGTTTAGTTCACATGCCCATTTCTTTATTGGTTCATTAGTTTTGGGAGAATTTAGTTTTTTAAGTTCCCGTGTATATTCTGGTTATCAGTCTTTGTCTGATGTATAATTGGCAAATATTTTCTCCACTCTGTGGGTGTTCCTTCAGTTTAGAGACCATTTCTTTTGATGAACAGAAGCTTTTTAGTTTAAATGAGGTCCCAGTTTTATCTAATGCTATATCTCTTAGTTGCTGGTGCTGCTTGGGTTTACATTGAGAAGTTTTCTTACTTATACCTACTAAGCTCCGAGTATCTTCCTACTCTTCGCTGTATCAACTTAAGATTTGGGTCGATATTAAGATCCTTGAATCTTCATTTTGAGTTAATCTTGGTATAGGGTGTATACATGGATCTAGTTCAGTTTTTTGCAGACTTGCTAAAACCATGTTTTCCCAGCAGTTTTTGTTAAGAGGCTGCTACTTTCTCCATCGTATATTTTGCTCCTTTGTTCAAAGATAAGTTGCCTATATTTGCAATCCTCCTGCTTCTACCTCCTAAATGCTGGGATTACAGTTGTGCACCACCACTGTCAGTTTTATTTTTTAAAATATCTCTTTTAATTTTCACTGGGTATAGAATTCCAGGTTGGCAGTTTCTTTTCTCTAAGTACTTTCAAGATGCTTCGCCAGTTCTTCCACCAGTGAGAAAGCAGCTGTCATCCTTATCTTTGTTCCTCTGTATGTAACATGTCTGTCCCTCCCCACACACATTGTTTTTGATTTTTTAATAATCCTTGGTTCTCATTTGTTATGGCATACTTTTCTCTTTATCGCTGGTATAGTTTTCTATACCTTGGTATAGTTTTCTTCGTGTCTTTTGTCTTGAACTTTGTTGAACTTTTTGGATGTGAGTTTTATGGGATTCCATGTGGTATTTCAATATATGTGTACATTTTTTAAACATTCAAAGCAGGGTAAACACCTATCTCCTCAATTTTTTTTTTCTGGTACTGGAGTTTGAACTCAAGAGCATTCACCTTGAACCACTCTGCTAGCCCTTTTTTTTGTTTTGTATTGAGTTTTTTCAAGGTAGGGTCTCCTGAACTATTTGTCTATGCTGGTTTCAAACAGCAATCCTCCTGATCTCTATCTCCTGAGTAGCTAGAATTACAGGCATGAGCCACCTGTGCCCAGCCACTTATCAATTCTTTATGGTGGGATTTGTGAGTTTATAGTTTTTGTCAATTTTGGGAAATTTTTCAGCTATCATTTCTTCACGTATTTTCCTATGTCTCATCTCAGCTCCTTTGGGATTCAGATTACATATATATCAGGTTGCTTGAAGTTGTTCCACAGTTCACTGATGTTCCTTCAAATTTAAACTTCCTTTTCTTGCTTTCATTTTAGTTTCTATCACCATCTCCCTCCTTCCTCCCTCTCTTCCTCCCTCCCTCTGTGCTTCTTTCTATCCCACCTTCCTCCCCCCCTCCTTCCTTCCTTCTTTCCTCCTTCCTTCTCCCTCTACCCCTTCTCCCTTTCTTTGTGGTGCTGGAGTCAAACTAAGGGCTCAAGCATGATAGGCGAGCACTCCCCTTTGAGCTACACTCCCACCCCAAGTTCATTAATCTTTTACCATTAATACTATGCAGTGTATTTTCATCTCAGATATTGTAGTGGTTTTTGTTTTTTTGAAAGTTTAGCTATTTCTTGAGCATGTTACAAAAGAGGCTTGGTCAGGAAGACCAGGCCTGTGTCGGCATTGGACTCCTGAGATTCCTCTTCATCTGGGCAGCAGTGGTAGAGGGGTAGACCCACCTACCTGCTGGAGCAGGTCCATTAGCCCTTACATTGCAGACAAGTTTCCCCAATGGCCAAGGACAAAAAAAACCAGACTAGGAACACTTATACTAGCTGCTTTAACGACGGCATTGTCTTATCCTCTGTGACAGGCTCCTCACAGTCCTAGGATGAGGGTTCATAGTTGCAGGTGAGCTACAAATGGAGGCCATACGGTGCTGGGCTAGTCATCAGATGAAGTGAGAGGCTTACCCCAACACGGCCTTAGCTTCCTTGGGAGGACTGAGCCCTGTGGTGGCAGCTGAGGCAGCTCCTATCTATGTTTAATTAGGGTCTTTTCTTTTTCCTTTGCCACCACTGCTGCCGTGGGGTCTTTGTCATCTTTCACTTTCTACTGAAGTTTGGAGTATGTTATGCAAAAAGTCTTCTAAGGTCTTCATCTGCTAATTCTAACATCCATGTCAGTTCTGGACCAATTTCCATGGATTATTTTTCCTTTCATTGATGGTCATATTGTCCTGCTTTTTTTTGTTTGCCTGGTAGTCTTTGACTGGATGCCAGACCATGTGAACTTTGCCTCACTGGGTGCTTGGCGTGATTACCCGCCTATGAATGTCTTAAGCTGTTCTTCTGGGATGTAGTTAAATTACTTGGAAGCAGCTTGGCCTTTCAGGTCTTGCTTTTATGATTTGTTAGGTGGGACCAGGGAAGCACTTCAGGCAGGTGTAATTATCCTTCAGAGCCGAGGCTAGACCTTTCTGAGTACTCTACCCAAGGCTGTGTAAATCGATTTTTTCCAGGCTAGCTGATGGGAACAGGTGCCATTCCAGGCCTGTGAGGGCAATGGATACTGTTCCCTGTCACTTTTAGGGTGACTATTTCCCTGGTCTTGGGGAAATGTACCGATAGGACTCTACCGAATACACAGGGAAGACTCTCTGCAGACCTCTAGGGTCTTCCCTTAGCCACTCTTCCTTCCTCACAATCTAGCTGCCCCATCTCTGGCTGCTTACCAGGCCTTGCTGGGCCAATCCACAGACATAGTCAGGCCAGCTGCAGATCTGCAACCACAAACATAAACAAGCCATTTCTGCACATGCGCTGGGGTTTCTGGAAAGAGTGCATGCCTTAGGGCCTGCGCACACAGAGCAACCTTCCCAAGGACAGTGGTCTGTGACCTCACTTCTGATGCCCAGTTGGAGTCCAGTGAAAGCGCCAGAAGACATGCTGCCCACACAAACACCTGGTCTTCAGGCTTTAGGGGAAACTTGCAGCCTCAGCTCCCCTAGGCCTACACGATAAACCGTCTCATAGTCTATGAAGTTGGCAACTCGCTCGGGTTATGGGGCCAGGCGGGGAGCGCTCCGCTCTAGTGGAGGGACAGGACTTCCCGGCTCCACAAATGAGCGTTTAAAGACAAGCAGATCCGCACACCAAAGGAAAGCTGGTTCTGGAGAGCTGGGGGGACGCGGGTCGGGAAGCCGCAGGGGCTGAGGCTCGTGCAGTCAGCACGGTCCGAGGCCTCCTCATGGGCACTGCCCTGCACACGCCCGTGAATGTGGGGGTGACCCTGGGTGTTACCTCCACTCTGGGACTTTTCTTGTTAGTGGACCCTTGGTAGCAGAAAAGGGCCTGGCAATGCTGCTCGGTGGAGGAGAGGGGTCCCTGAGCTGTGGGTTTGGCCCTAGCTCTGCCCTGGCCTCGGTTTCCCCACGGGTTGGCTCGCACGTCCCAGAGCCGGGGCTCAGCCGAGCTGGTGGCGCCCGTATGCGCGGCTTCCAAGGCCTTCCCAACGCCCGCGGGCAGCGTCCGCCCTGTTCTTGCTATCTTGACGCAGCTCGAGCACCCATCTTTGCGCCCAGGGGTCCCAGGTGAGGTCTGCGGAGGGCGCCCCGGCAGGCTCGGCGCCTCCCTCCGCGTCACGGCCCTGGAGGGCCTCCCGCAGATCCCACGGATCCCACAGCAGGGTCTGCGCCTCGCACCCGGGGGCTGCGGGCCTGCAGGCGGGGAGAGCGGTTCGTGGGAGCGGGGACAAGGAGAGGTGGAGCACAGAGCAAGGGGAGGGGAGGAGCCCCGCCCCCCGCGCCGGGAGTCCCTGCAGCACCAGACTTCCCTGCGCCGGAAGCGGAAGTGCGTCAGTTCGGAGACAGGAAGCGACCCGCCGCGTAGGCTCGCCGCGGGTGCGTAACCCGGAAGCGCTTTCTGAGGTCCTGCCCCCGCCCGCCGATATCCCTGCCGGAGGTCGCGCCACTTCCTTTCCGTCCTCGCGCTCGTCTTGGAGGCACCAGGTTGGCCACGCGGCGCGGGCTGCCATCAGGGCCGGGCCATGCGGGTTGTGCTGGGCCGGGGTGGGGGATCTGCCGGGGTTCCGCGGACATGGGGTGCGGGCCTGTCCCAACTCATGGCTCCACGCCGTGATTTCGCAGGCGCGGCTCCAACATGCAGAACGACGCAGGCGAGTTCGTGGACCTCTACGTGCCGCGGAAGTGGTGAGCGCTCTTTCCTCCTTACTGCGCCGAGGTCCTTCCCTCCCGCCCCGTTATCCCTGCAGGACCCCTCCACACCCACTCAGCCCACTTCCACGGTCGACCCCATTCCCGCGTTCTTACCTCCAGGCCTCTTCCCCACCCACCCCTGCGCCCCCCGCCCCACTCGTTGCCTTTTCTTCTTAGCTCCGCCAGCAATCGCATCATTGGTGCCAAGGACCACGCGTCTATCCAGATGAATGTGGCTGAGGTGAGCTGGGAGCCTGGGCCTTTACACATTGATGTGTTTTTCTGGGGGGCGTGGGGGGAGAGGGTGGTACTGGGGTTTGAACTCAGGGCCTCGCACTTGGCAAGCGTTCTGCCAGTTGAACCACTGTCAGCCCTTTGTGGCTTTTTTATTATTCACATGTGCATACAATGTTTGGGTCATTTCTCCCCCCTTCCCCCGCCCCCCAAGTGTTGGGTATTTTTGAGATAGGGCAGGCTTGCTTCGAACCGTAATGCTCCTCTCTCTCTCCCCAGTAGCCAGGATTATGGGTGTGAGACACCTGCTAGACCACATTGATGTGTTTTAAGGCCTTTCCATCTGCTCTCTTAACAGGTCGATAAGGTCACAGGCAGGTTTAACGGCCAGTTTAAGACATACGCTATCTGTGGGGCCATTCGCAGGATGGTGAGTTTCCCTGGCCTGTGCTTCTATGTGGTCTCCACCTGGCAGCACTGGGCTTGGGCTTTGGCATTTGAGCATGCAGTGGTGGCCTCCCTTCTCAGGCTGGCATGGGTTGTTGCAGAGCAGGCTTGCCAGCCACCTGTCTCAGCCTAGGTTGGGAAGGGGTGCTGAGGGCCAGGAAGAGGCCACGGAGGGTAGGGAAGGGAAGACTGAGGCAGTGGTCCCTGCTCACACCCATTGGTGTGGTATGTGGAGCTGTGTTTGAGGTGTTTGTGGAGCCTCCTGCCAGCCCAGGGAGCCCTGGTGGCGATCAGTGGTTTTTTTTTTTTTTTTTTTAAAGGGTGAATCAGATGACTCCATTCTCCGATTGGCCAAGGCTGATGGCATTGTCTCAAAGTAAGAGGAGGTCCTCATGTAGCCTAGGATCTTACAGAGACGTGGTTTTAATACCGTTGTTCTTCCCTTGTAGGAACTTCTGACCGGAGGAAATTGTGGGTGTGGAATATTTGTCATAAATAAAGAGGGAGAAGCCACATTCTGTGTGTGTGGATGTTTTTGGGGCCGGGAACAGGCTGGCACTTTGCTGTGAATGGGTGACTTAACTGAAGGAGACAAATTACGATGAACGTTGCAAAACCATGTTTTACTTCAACAAATACGTTATCCACTTGAAAACAATCCATGACAAATAAACATTCTGAGGTCAGGTACTTGCTTAGAGATTGCTAGATGCTGAGGAAGTGCCATCAGGTCTGGTTTCACTTGGTCACCACCCAGCTGGACCCCGCTCAGACTTCTGGACTTGGTCTAGAGGACTGTGGGTTCAGGCTGTCATTTGGTTTAAGAAGTGGCTTAACCAGGTGCCACACTGGCAGCTCTTGGCATTGGAAAGGATGTAGAAAAAAGGGCTTCAAACAGACCAGCTTGGTAAGTGACTAAATGTCGTGTTATAAATACAGAAACGTAAGTTGTTCCTGTTCACCAGCCATTTTCTTGATACTGATGTCTACAGGAGGGGGACATGGCCCCTGAGAGTAGGTTGTAAACTACTGCAGTGTTTTTGGGAGTCGGCCCTTATAGTGCTCATGATAGCAGTGGCCCTCAGGTGCTGTTTTTGGTGGTAGGACAGGCTGCTTTTTAAAGGAACCTTGGACTTGGGCCCAGCACTGCAGGGTGCAGTCTTGGGCACACTCAGGGACTGTCTGGCCTGTGCGAAGGGGGTCACAATAGTTAAGTGAGAACAAGGATCAGTTTGCCCGTCCTGCAGTCTTCTGTGTAACTTGGTGGTTAGGGTGGTGCAGTCCTGCAGGGAGTAAGCTTTGCACATCTGCTTGGGTGGTGGGTGGAGCCAAGTACATGGTGAGCAGCAGGACTGGCACGTCCCTTTTGTAGGAACACAAGGTGCAAGGACAGAACGTGCTCAGCCCCTCCTGTGACAGGTTTGTAGGATAGGAAGATAACTTGACTCAGCCACAATGGCCATTTTTGAGACCAGCTCACCCACAGGAGAAGGAAGTTCATTCCTCAGTGATGGGGAAGGAAGCTAGAGAATGACCACACGATCCATTACAAGAACATGGGACGAACCTGGGAAAGCCCTGCTCCCCATGGCACACACCTGCCCGGAGGGACAAGGTGTAGATGCATGGCCAAGTGAGTCCAGACATGTACTTCCTGCCTGGGGAAGCCATCCCCATGCTCACTGTCCACTGGCAAGCCTTCCTGCTGTTGGGTCATACAGTTTCAAGTCACACCTTCAGCAGACCTCTCTGAACCAGTTTTTGTTCCCTTAGAGATCCAAAGAACCAAATTCTAATTTATAATAAATAATCATCTTTGTCACAATATTGCTTAGGAAATCAAGAGCCAAGAGTCAGTTTCCTGAAGGTCCAGTGTCAGGTAAGTGAGTTTTCCAGGCAAGTGGCAGAGGTTGGGTCCTGGCACGACGGCTGTCTGCACAGCTTTGTGTGAAATGCAACACAGCATGGGGATTTCACAGTGACACAAGCTCAGACAGGTCTGAGAGTCAAAAGATTGAAACAGGCTAGGTGCCTGCTCTTGGTGGCTGTTAGTAACCTGACACCAAAAGCTGCCCTTGCCGATGTGGGGAACTCTGAAGGAGCCCTGCTTGGGTGGAAGTGGAGCCAGGGATGCCGAGACACCACACCTGGAAAAATGAAATATCCAAGATGGATGCAAATTTGCTAATGTCAGCATGTTCATAACATCCTGGGCATCCAGCCCTCCACAGTGCTATTCCCACGGCTGTGACGGTTTGCAAAGGCAAGGCAAAGGGAGAGAGCCAGGCTGGAACCCAGGATTCACCACCATGTGATGTAAACCAAAGGTCCTGATGCCAGCCTGATCTTAGGCACATGGAAAACCAACCCAATCCTACGTATGTCCATGTAAAGCTCCAGGAAAATTCTCAGAAGTGCCCTTGGAGGTGTGGTGAACTTTGGAATGAAAGCGACGTTCCTTTCCAAGGAAGCTGAGTACAGAGAACTGTGCAGGCTGTGAAGGGCAGGTGCAGGAAGGGGCCGGTGTATGGGGCTGGTGAACACACGCACACTGGTGGCCTCAGTGCCCCTGCCGAGGGCTGCATCTCCCTGCAGAGCCACCTGGGCTAGAACTGCTGGGTGAGGCGTCTGTAGTGAGGTAACACTTGGTTCTCGGGAAGATACAGGGCCAGTTCCAAAGCCACGAGTACTGTGAACTCGAAGCCAATGAGGTCTCGCCTGTTGAACCGGAATCTCTCTTCCAGCTTCTGCAGTGAAGGATAGGAAGGGTCAACATGGTAGCATCCGCCCACGTCCCTGCCTGAGGCAGGGCTGTGGGCGTGAACAGCCCCTCCAGTGCCTGCTCCCTGGGCGCTCAGCTGTGTGGCAGGCCTTGCACTCACATCGATTAGCTGCTTCACCTCGCTCTTGCGAAGGTCGCTGCTGATCTTGGCAGCCAGCAGCACACAGGCGCCCGCGCACAGCTTGCGGTTCTGCTTGTTGAGCTTGCCCTGCAGCACGAGCTTCTCAAAGTACACATAGGCCATGGCCACGGTCACAGGCTCCAGGCTGCACTCCTCAGACAGGTTACGCATCTCCCGCTTCAAACTGTGGGTGGGGTGGGAGCCATGTCTGTGGGGCTGTGCTGAACATAAAGCCACCCTCTGATGGTTCTGCCACGTGCCTTTGGGCCGTCAGAAAAGCCACCCCCCAAGGCTGGGCAGTGGTGCACGCCTGTAATCCCAGCTACTCAGGAGACCTCATCTCAACAAATAAGCTGGGTATGGTGGATCACATCCATAATTCTAGCTACTTAAGAGGTGGATGTAGAAGGATTGTTGTCCCAGGCTGGCCCAGACAAAAGCTGGAATCCTATCTAAAAACGAACTAGAGACAAAAGGCCTGGAGGCATGGTGCAAGTGGTAGGGTGCCTGTCCAGCAAACACAGTCCTTCAGTTCAATCCCCAGTACTGCCAAAAGAAAAAACTGCTGTCAGGGAAAAGCCTAGTACCAGGGGTGTTTAGTGAAGTGAGCAGGGCACAGGATGGGCCGGCCTTACCTCCTGATTTTGCTCAACGTCAGTTTGATGTGAGGGAACTTCTCCTTAAAGGTCTCGTTCATGTCCTTCTTGAGGTCTGAGGGCTTCACATACTCGATTACTGTGGTCTGCAACAGAAGGGAGGAGGACAGGGGCTGGCTGTGTCAAAGACATATTCCCCATGGCCTAGGTTTGCAGACAAAGTCAAACACGTGTGGCTTCACAGAGGCACCCAGATCTCTGAGGACAAAACAGCTCAGAGCCTATTTTTCCTCAGTGCAGAGGCCCAGGCTACCAGGCACTGGCCCCAGGCGAGTGCCCAGCTCTGCTCTCTGCCCTACCATCTGCTACTGCAGGTGTCTGGGGCCAGGGCAGGACCCCTAGGCTGGCTGTTCTGAGTGCCCCCCAGCCTGCTTTCACACCCCAGCAGTGGCAGGGCAAGGTGTGGCCCGTAGGGTGGGATGCACGCTCACCATATGTGAGGCAAAGATGAGCACCCTCTTGTGCTTCCCACAGGGCCACTGTGGGTCATCCAGAAGGTTTGGGTTGTATTCCAGGGTGTCTCCTCCGTCATTCCCTGAAAGTACAGGAAACCCCTGACATCAGAGCCTCATCAGAGCCTTTTTTGCCCTGAGGGGGATGCATCACAGCAAACCTCCTAGGGTCTAGAGCGGTTCCAGGCCTCAATGCCCTCCCTGCCCAAGGGTCTAGGGTGGGGTAAAGGTAGAGACGTCCTGCTTCCCAGCAGCATCAGGGCTATTGGCTCCTCCCCTCTGCCTGGTCAGGCAGAGCCTGGTCTGTGTCTACAGCCTTTTTCTCTGGACAGGCTGATGCTGCCCTGGCTCTCAGCCAGGCTCTGCTGTACTGAAGGACTTGGGTATCAATGGGACTTAATGTTGCTGCCTCCCCGTGCCACTAGGAAGGCATGCAGACCACCTAGTTCTGTACTGGCTGGTGCTGACTTGGCAGGGGCAGGTTTATGTCTAGATCCTGGAAGAGCCCGGGGGATGCTGGGCCGAGGCTGGGGCAGCAGGTTGTGGCTGTCACTCTTGTGTGTGACCAGGGCGTTGGTAGGATACAGGAACTTCGCGTAAGACACGACCTGGAAAAGCAATCACATTGGAGTTCAGTCCTGCTTCCCAAGACAGAAGGTCCCAGCAAGCTCTGCTTCCATCCTCCCTACAGGAGGCGCAGAAGAACTCAAGTGTGCCCTCCATGAAGAATCCGCCATGCAGCTCTGGGAGCGCCATGCTAGGCCACATGAAACTGGTACTCTCTTGTTCCAGCATTCCTGAACACCGGCCTCCCACATTGATCTGGGGTCTGCAGCTTGTCTCAGAAGACCTTTGGCTTCAGCCTACCAACACAAAGGTGGGGCCAGATGGCGTGGAGAGCTGGGGGGACCGAATGTCTGGAGGTGCCCGCATGTACTACACTCTCAGCTGTCTGTCAGGGAAGCTGCAGGGGTAGCTGGCGATGGCCTCAGGCCATTTCCATAGCGCTGTGCAGCCCACTCCCCACAGTTCAGATTAACACGAAAGGTGCCTTTCAGCAGGCGCTGGCTGCAGGGCTGCTCCCGCCCATCCAGCCCTGACCATGCTGGCCATCAGTCGGCCTCGGGCTCTTGCCTTTCCATCTGCTCCCAGCTCAACGCCTTCCAACTCAAAGACCATCTCAGAAGAAACGGAAACACCACCAGACGGATGCCTCTGCTTCTGGCTGTCCACCCTCAGGTCACTGCAATGCACAGGAAAGGGAAGCTTGACCTCTGGCTTTGACAGCTCAGCTTGCACACACCCTTCCTCCTAGAAGTGCCCATATCCCACACAGACCCCTGTGGGAAGAAAGTGGGCAGGCATCCCCTGAAGGAGCACATCAGGGAGTGCTTTTATCCTGAGGCAACGTGTATCTCACTCCTGCCCTGTCACAGACACTGCCTATCAAAACACCTAGGGGCATTCCTTGGCACCTGCCTGAGCTTTTGCTCAAATTTGTTTCCTGGATGTAAACAACCCTTCACCTGTAGTCACAGCCCTCAGCAGCTGGGCTGGACCCTGAGCACCAGCTTCCTCCCTCCACTGGGATGGAGGTTTCCCCGTGTGGGCTATTGTGATTCCTGAAGCTGGGGTCACACATGATGCTGGCCTGGACAAATAGCCATTTCCTTCTTCTCTGAATTACGCTCAGGACATGATTGCCTGGACTAGTCACAAGGATGCACGACTGTGTCTGCAAGAGGGACAGCCCCCAGAGAACCAGGAGCTCAATGGCAAGTTCCTGGGCTCTGGTGACATCTGGTCCTAACCTATAAATCTGAAGGACCTAGTCCACCCTTGGTGACAGCTGCACTGATGCCTGCCCTGCTGGGCCGGCAACACCAGGGCCTTGGACACTGCTGGGTATGCGTATGGGCGGGAGCACTCACCTGATCCGCAGGCCTTCTCCATAGGGTAGGACTGAGAAGGCAGCACACAGGGACCGCTTGGCACAGATGAGCACGATCCTATGGAGAGGGCAGGGGACAGAGGGGGTAGTAATCCTGTCCTTCCTAAATTCAGGTGATGGGAAACTGCCCAGGCTGTCAGAAGAGACTCTTGGGCAACTGCCACAGGATGCTTTCGCAGGTGTTAAAGCACACCAGGAACACCCACATCTCCCCGCCCCACGGCACATGGTCTGGAGGTTTGGTGGGGAACACAGCTCAACCAGGAAAGCCCAGGCCTTGTGGGCAAAGGCAGAGGGTCCAGGACAGTGAGGCTAAGGTCTCCCAGACCCTGGACTGGAGGTCCTGGAAAGGACAAGGCCTAGAACCACCAGAGAGCACCCACACCTATCAGAGAGCTCAGCTGAGCAGAGGCTCCTCTCTTGGGACTTGAATAGGCAAGATCTGGGCTCCTGGGAGCACGGTGCTGCAACTACAGTTTCTGCCCCTCTGGACTCAGGTGACTGGGAATGCCCCCACCAGGCCATGCTCCTGTGTCCCCTGGGTCGGGGCTGCAAAGTGTCCATCCAAACCTAGGGTCATTCACAGGGGTGCTTGCAGGGTGGCCTCCAGAGTGAAGAGGAACTCTGACACCCTCTGTGTCAGGGCAATCAGCAGTGCAAGTACAAGGGACAGGACACAGGAGGCCCCTGCAGCACAGGCCACACACAGCCTCCCAGTGCCCAGCACAGCACTGTTTTGAGTTCAGCCTGTGTGCTTGCCAATGTCCTTGCCTCCTCTCCTGGACACATCTCAGGAAGAGCTCAGTTCTGCCTTTCAACTATTCCCGAAGGCTCTGTCCACCCAGTGGTTCCTCCTACCCCGGGGATCGCACAGTGGGCAGGTTCACTGGCTCAGCCATGCCAGGAACCTGCTGGTGTTTTGTTAACATGGATGAAGGCAAGTGCCCACTGTTTTTGGTAGTGCTGGGGTTGAATTCAGGGTCTGATAGCTGCTAGGTAAGTGCTCTATGACTTCATCCACACCCCAGGCCTTTTGATTTTATTTTTCAGATAGGGTCGCTAGCTTTTGCGTGGGCTAGGCAAAAGGGCCACCAGTTTCTGCCCTTCTACTGGGAGGAATTCCTCCACTGGGAATACAGGGAAATGCCACCATGCCCAGCCACAAGTGTCTGCATTCCAAAGGGTCATTGGATGGACTGGGCACCACGGAGGCAGAAACCTTTTGAACTGAAGCTAATGATGCTGACAAAGACAAGAACTGGGACCCACACAGCTGGCTTCCAGAGACCCAGTTGGAGCTCCAGGGCTAGGGAGGACCCAGCATGCTGTTACCTGCTGTTCCTCGTGTCATACTGCCTCATGTTCTTGATGAAGTGGGTCTTCTTCAGGCCTTTGTGTCTTGGTGATCCAGATGCATGTTTGGTTCTGCAAAGTTAAAAACTGGGCTACTCTTGTCTTCCCAGCACCCTCTCTTGGACCCCAGAGGTCAGTGTCAGCTGAGCGCAGGGTCTTGGAGCAGGGGTGGGTGGACATGTACCTTTGTACTGGTGCACATCCGACAGCATCTTCTAGAAATTCGAGGGAACAGCGCTGGGACGTGACTCGCCTCCTGTAAGGAAGACATGGTGGCCTCAGGACAAATAGTGACACTGTGTCCACGACTTCCTTCATGGCCGTGTTCCATGGCAGAACTGTCCTGGCTGCACTGGGCAGGGTTGCCGTGAGGCCAAACTGCTCACCTATGAGACTCAGAGGCTTCTGGAGCTTGTGAGCCGAGATTGTGGTGGGAGGAGGGGGCCCCCACCTTTGAGGTTCCCGCCTGTTTCAGAGGCGCTGCACTCCTTGCTGGAGACTACTGACCTGCTGGTCAGGTTCCTCAAACAGAATGAGCCATGTCAACTTTCCCTACCCTAAGGGCTGCAAACCTGAGGGTACCTGGCCTCTCTCTGCAGCAACGCAGGCCCTTTGGGGTTGTGGCCCAGCCAGAGCATAACGTGAGCCCCTCCTCAGACTCCTGAAATCGTCACATACCCTTCCTGCTCAAGGCCCTCACAGATGGTCCCTTCTGGACTCTATCATACCGTGACCACATGACATACTGGTGGCACTGTCACTAATGGAAGGAGGTCTCCCTACCTCAGGAGTACTGACTGGCTCTGATGGGACATGGTGGGGAGGTGTGCTCACTGCTGAGCCTCCTGTGCCTGTGCCCAGGAGGTCAGAGTTTGAGCATTACACGAGGAACTCTGGGTAGACAGCCTCCAGAACCATGCCCTGGGATGGGGATTCTCAAGCCTGAGGCCTCAGGAACCCCATATGGCTGCACCTTCACATCAAGATGACAGGAGCAGGTCATTAGTCCCGGGGTGAATGTTTACATCTCACAGGTGAGTAACACTCCCAGGAGAGGCAGGCTCCCAGAGGTCATATGACAAAGAGGAGGGTTTGCCAGCTCCAGAGCTAAGGGTTGCCCCATGCCTTCTGCCCACCAGGCAGTGTAAGCCAGAGTCCTGGTGAGACGATAGAGATATGAGGAGCCCTGGGCCGAGGCCGCCCAAGCTCTACCAGGGCTCCCTGGTTCCCTGCCACAGCCCTTGAGCACTGGGAGCCCGGGTATCAGACTCCGAGGGGCTTTGCTTTCCAGCTTTATTCTCACACTATTGGATGAGCAGCTCATGTTCCTTAAAGAACATAAAGAAAACCATTTACCTACTCACCCACAATCTTCCCCTCAGAGACCGCACTACAATCCTGGCATAAGCTGTCTTGACACACAGGGTCACACCCATGCTGTGTTTCAGCCGTGTCTTCCTGCAGCACCTTACTCATTTTTTTTTTTTTTGTTTCTGTGCTGGGGATGGAACCCAGGACCTCAGGCATGCTAGGTACACGAACCATAACCCAGTCCCTTGAGTCTTGCATCATTTCAAGCCAAACACACCCTGACCCTAGTGGAGGCGTCTTATCACTGTCCTATGGGAACGTGGGGCCAGTGAGTATCACCAACTTGTGACAAGCATCCTTGTGCATCTGCCTGACTCTGGCCTGACTGCTCCACAGGGAGACTCCTGAGAGTGGAGCTGCTGGGCACGGACTGTACCTTGAGCCAGAAGGTAGGAGGCTCAGCCCACAGGGAGGGTAAAAGACCCCAAGCAGAATCTGACGGCACATATATGAGCCATAACCCTCTTGTCTGGACCTCAGGAATCCTATATGTGTTTTCCACAGCAAAAAGTTGAACTCAGTATTTGTTCAGTCAACACCTGCAGGAGTAACTTCCATCAGGGCACAGTGCCAGCAGCTCCCACATCCTGTGGGGCAAACCAGGGTCATCCTTCCTGACGTGGGGGCTCAAAGTGGCCAAGTGGCTCTCAAGGCCACATGGTCATATGTGCAAAGCTCATATAGAACTTGATCGTAGGTTTGTCTGAGACTGTCCAGCTTTGCTCTTTTCTTTGGCTTTGCCTCTGTGTTCCAAGAATGTAGCTGATGAGGTCAAATACTGCAACCTTGCACTATTAGGAAAACCACTCCAACCAGGATGACAGTGATGGTGAGGACCGTGCAAGTGATGGTGGTATTGATGGTGTGGTGGTGGAGGGTGGTGATGGTATTGGTGATGATGTTACTGGTGGTAATGGTCCCTGGTGGTGATGGTGTTGGTGTTTCTGTGGTTATGCTAGGAGAGGTGTCCCAGTCCCATTAAGTGCTGCTCAGAGCCTGACACGATACCTGGTATGCTTGCGCCTTACTTTGCACAGTTTCTACCACCGGGAGAGGCCATGTCTGTCCTTCCAGAGGCTATCGATGGGGAGCTCTTTTCACACTGAGACATGGGGCACCTCACTCCCACATGCACATGACACCGCTGAACCAAGTGTCCACTTATCAGTGGGCACTTGAGTTTCCAGGTCCTCCAGCAGACCTGGAAACTCAAATGCTGAGCCTCTGACCAGGCCTGCTGAGGGGCCATACAACTCTGGGGCAACTGCCGTGGGGCCAAGGTGTCCACTGAGTAGTAAGTGCAGGTTACATGGGGCCCATCCTTCAGGACAAGAAAAGAAACTGTAAGTCACAGAAGGGACAGCTGGTTTGCAACAGCAGGACACACAGGTATGAAAAGGCACAGCCCTACAGAGTTGCTCACCACTGTTGTGTTGGCTGAACCTTAGCTCCTTGGCCAGAAACTTCTAGAGGGAGGAGCTCCTTGGCTTTTAGTGCCAGCACGTACAGATCCGAGCATGACCCATGAGAGATAGGCCCTTAATACTCACGAGGGCTGGGTATTGGTGGCTCACGCCTGTAATCCTAACTATTCAGGAAGCAGAGATCAGGAGGATCACAGTTTGAAGCCAGCCCGGGCAAAAAGTTTGTGAGACCCTATTTGGAAAATACTCAACCAAAAAAGGGCTGGTGGAGTGCCTCAAGTGGTACAGCACCTGCCTAGCACCTGCCTCAGAGCATGAGGCTCTGAGTTCAAACCCCAGTACCAAAAAAACAAACCAAAAACAAAAACAAACCAAAAACCAACCAACCAAACAAAAATTAAACAACAAAAAACCAATTTATTATGGTCCAGGCGGCATTATGAGCTGAACTGTGTTCCCTCCAAATTCACATGCTGAAGTCCTGACTCCCAGGACCTCAGAATGAGTGCATTTGGAGACAGGGTCTTTAAAGAGATGATCGAGATAAAATGAGATCATTGGTATGGGCTCTGACCCAGTGTGACTGGTGTTCTTAGAAGGAGATTAGGGATACAGGCACACACAGAGAGACAACCATGTGAGGACAGAGGGAGGAGACAGTCTACAATCCAAGAGAAAGGTATTAGAGGGAACCAACCTGCTATACCTTCATCTTGGGCATTCCAGCCTTCAGAACTGTGAGAAGCAAATGTCCTTTAAGCCACAGACCTGAGGTGCTGTGTTGAGGCAGCCCAAGCTGACTAATCCAGTGTCGGGCAGGGGCAGGCAGGGCACCAGATGCCACAGGGTAAAGAGAGGCCGGAGGTGCACTGGTGTGGCTACCCAGTATAGCCTGATTTCTGCACAGATTTCAGGATGGCTCTGAGCACCCACTGAGCAAGACGGTGGGACCATTAAGGAACAAACACACAGTTTGTGCAGTAACTGCTGTCCCAGAGGGGCTGATGTGCTCCCCAGCCAGGGGTGGAAGTCAACTCTGTTCCATGGCTTCTGAGCTCTGTGACCTGGGCAGGCTCACCCTCTGAACTCAGATATCTGTGTGGCAAAGTAACCAGGGCAGTGCAGCTGTGTAGCAAGGTGACCTGCCCCACAGGCTTGCTGTGTGCTCTGTTACATGAAGCATTGTGGACTCTGTGCCAGTCTATCAGCAGGAACTGATTTATTAAGTGTGAACCAAACCAGAAGTCCTGGGGAAGGGAGAGGAGAGAGCATGCTGAGGGCTACTTTTGGAGCTATAGCTGCTTGGTGCCAGGCCAGCACCTTTTTCATAGCATCCCCCAGTGACAGCCCTACCAGCAGGACCCCTGGTTTACATAAGGCATGCAGTCAGGTACCTCTCCAGTAGAGCCAGCCTAGAGCTAGTCCCTGAACCGTGGTCACACTATTTCCACTAAGGCCAGTGTTTATCTTAGAAGTAGAAGTGGGAGACAGGCAGCTGCCACTTTACACCAACACTCCTGAGGCTGTGACATCACTCACATCTACTTGGCAGTGGCACAGAGAGGCTGGGGTCTACCCAAGGTTACACAGTCAATGTAGTCCAGGTCCTGGTGGGTTCCAAGGCTGTCACCTTGACTAAAATCCACAGGCTCTCCTTTATTACTTATACAGTAACTTGCTGAAAAGAAACTGGAATTGCAAACAGAAGTGCCTCTCAGTGGCACTACCTCCAGAGGGCTGTGTATCCACCATACCAGCCTGTGGTGGGGTGGGCCATGAGCCCCGCCAGGCAGCTATGGGGAGGAAGACAGGTGAGAGGAGCAGGCACTTGGTCTGAGAAGCATGACCTGAGGGATAGATTGGAGGCTAGAATGGAAGGGGCTGGAACCAGCCAAGATAGCAAGAAGGAAAAGAAGCAGATGTTTGGGTGATGACCCCATGCCGGGTGAGGGTGGACAGGGCCTGCCTGAGAGGACGCCTAGCTAGGGGCAGGATGCACAGCCCAGGGCTGGGAAAAGCAGCCAGCTGGCGATAGAACTGAACAAATGTGGGGACCACCCCTGGGGAGGAGTCTCTGTTCTGAGGTGCCTCTGGGACCGCCTGGCTGAGCTTCCCTAAGGTGCATTCCCTTGGGTAATTACCAGGCCAGTCTGGAAGCGTGGCTCCTGCACACCTGGGACCTCACTGCAGGCCCAGAGGCACCATGGAAGAGCGGCAGGCGGATGCTGGCCTCTGCTGCCTGGTTTGCTCCTGCTGCTATTTTCTGGTCTCTAGGGATGATGTGCTCTTCTTAACAGCTCATGAGATCTGTTCCCAGATGATCCACAGATCTTTTTCTCTGTGACTTTCTTCTATCTCTCCTCTCTCCTTCCTCGTAAGCATTTTATTTGTAAACTCAATCTCATAATTCTACCAGGTAGAAAGTACTCTTATTCACAGTTTACAGAGGAGGAAACTAAGGCTCTGTAGCCATTCGGCAACTTGCCTGAGCTCACACAGCTGGTAAAAGGGGGAGCAGAGGTCAATGTCTGCAGCCTGGCCACTATGAAGACGGGCTGGGAGAGTCTAAAGCAGACCCCGTGTGCAGCAGGCAATGTGATCTGAACCATGCCTGCCAGTCAGCAGAGGTGGATACAGGGCAAGAACAGACAGACATCCTACGGTGACACCAGTCAGAATCTCAGTGGGGAATGGCTGAGGAGGACAGGGGGAAACTTGGGGGATGGGTTCTGGTGCGGGTGGTGGCTCTGTGTGTGAGCAAGTGTGGAAGTGCACGCTCACCCTCCACATACTTCATCCTAATGTGCACCTGATGTAAAATGTACTAAAAACAAGAAAATAAATCAAAAAGTCTGGGATTCAGCTACCTCAGCTAACAAACCCCTATTCCCCAGACAACTGGGCAAGTCCAAGTCCTGTGTCGGGCTCAGCCTGGGTGGTTACATAGATGTGCCATCTCTGGCCCCTGCATGGGACAGCGATGGCCCAAAGCTCTCTTTATCTTTTGGGGAAGGAAGGCAGGGGCCAGGGTGAGAGGGCGGCTGCCAAGAGGACAGGTGGCTCCCACTGAACAGCCCCGCTGACCCAACTCACCCTCAGGATTGCCCCTTAGTGACCCTAGCTGCCTACCGTGCCTCCCAAACATGCTGCAGGCAGGGACGGAAAGCTGCTGGTCCTTAAATGCTGCACCTAGTGACAGGATTCCTTGCTGTAACCAGAGAGCCAGCCAGGAGAGGCCAAGGCACTGCTGTCTTTCTGAGGCCGAAGACCGTATCACCATTGGGAACTCAAATGGGGTGACTGAGTCCTAATCCCAGGGCCACACTCAGCAGGGAAGCATGGGCAGAGGTGGTGTCCAGGGCCCGCTGCTCCATCCCCTGGCATGAGCATTGTGCTTGACCCGTTGCAGACTCTTGGGGCATATCTGCCAAACAAATGGATTGCCGTGGTATGGGTCTCGAACTGGTGGAGTGGCTCAAGTGGTGAGAGCACCTGCCTAACAAACATGAGGCCCTGAGTTCAAACCCCAGTGCTGCCAAAAAACCAAACCAAACCAAAAACAAATCACAGTATGGGTCTCACCGAGTCCCAGGCAGAGCGAAGGAGTCTGATGCCAGCTCTCCCAGCAGAGGTCTGTGGATTCCACAGCAGCACACAGCAAAAAGATGGAGTGGGGTTCCAAGGCCAAGAGGGGCTGGGAGTCGGGCCCTGGTACCAGCAAGGTCTCTGAGCTGCCACAGGGAAATGCTTTCAGGTCCAGCCTCAGCTGACCGCCCTCAGCTGTTCTCAGCTGGAGGGCAAGAAACCCCCAGTCAGGGTTGTAAGCAAACTGCCAGGTGCAAGGCTGAATCTGGCTTAACCCGGGACAGATGCTGGATGCTAAGTGGTTCCTCACTTTTCATTCCTCCACATCAGGCAGCACAGTGACCTTCTTTCTTTTTGGTGATACTGGAGTTTGAACTCAGGGTCTACACCTTGGGCCACCCACCAGCCCTTTTGAAATTTTTTTTTTTTTTTGAGATAGGGTCTCACAGGCTATTTGCCTGGGCTGGCTTCGAACTTTGATCCTCCTGATCTCTGCCTCCTGAGTAGCTAAGCCACTAAGGCCTGGTTGATCCTCTTGCCTCAAGGCTGTATCTGGATGTGCTGGGCCACATTTGACTGCGATTTACAGTCTTTAACCTGTGGGAATGGCCCTCTTCTCCCTCACTAGTGTCATGGAAACTAACCATGGCTGTTGTGGATTGACTGGTCTTCCTAAAGAGACACGCTAATCCTGACCTCTGGTACCTGTAACTATGAAGTCTTAGTACATGTGATCAAGTTAGGATGAGAACAAGACCTAGAAGACACACAAGGAGGAAATCACACATGGAAATAGGCAGAGACTGGAGCAGCAAGCCACAAGCCAAGGGACTTAGAGCCCCAGGAACTGGAAGAGGCAGGAAGGCACCCCCGACCACATTTCAACATTGGAATTTTGCTCTCAAGAGCTGGGGGACAGTGAATTGCTGCCAGTTTTGTGGTCCTTGGTTGTCAGGCCCTGGGCCCTCGGGCAAGAAGGTAGAGCATGGGTGAGGCAGCTGCCAGTGGGCATTTAGTAATCACAATGTTAAAAGGAGAATAATCAGTGTTAGAGGTTCTATGGGAAAAATGAGAGTCTAATGCCTCTCTCACTGCCTTAGGAGAGAATGCTGAGCTCCAAGCTGTAATCCCAATGCTGACCCTGCTGGCCTCACGGGACTTCTGCCATGCGCCTCACTGAGCCTTTGGCACTATCTGACCTCAGGGAGAAATTGTCCTATGTGAATCCATTCCACAGAGGAGGAGACTGAGGCTTAGAAAGGCTCCAGCTGTTCAAAGCCATAGAACTACCCAGTGAATGGCAGAGTTAGGAATGGAAGTCAGAGCTAGGAATGGAAGTCAGAGCTAGGAATGGAAGCCAGAGCTGCTCCCACACTCAGACACATGCTTCAGGAACTTCAGAATTCTCATTTCCTAAAAACAGTGGACCCTGAAATTCTAAAGCTGGAAGCCAGCAACCCAGTTTGCCAGGCCAGCCACTCATGGCTCCCTTGCTAAGCAACAGGCCTGAGAACACAGAGGGTGGACAGTCCTCTTCCTAAGGACCTGTGCCCATCAGGAAAGGGCAAAGACTCCTGGACATCAGGGCAACACCATGAACTCGGCAGCAGAGCCCAAGGAGGGATGACCTCTGCAACAGGCAGGTGCAACCACTGGGGTGGGGGCAGGAAACATATACAAAGAATGGGACAGGGAGGCAGGCCAAGGAGGGAGAGCAGCAGACGGCTCACTAGAGGTTAAGGCAATGGTGGAGGGAATGGGGACAGATCAAATGCAGCAGGAAGAGCAAGGGCACCCACCCACAGAACATCTCAGGGGAGCAGGCTGCACCCCCTCTTTAGAACCACTCCACCCCTAGATGGGAGGCAGCGCTGCTCCACTCCACTCCAGCTGTTGACCCGGCTTCTGCCCCTCACATCCTCCCAAACCAAATGACCTGTGGGTTGGCTGCTGGTCTCTGCTCAAGGCCTGGAGCACAGAGGATGCCTGAACTCTGCTGAAGGAGGGCCTAAAACAACATCTAGTCTCAGTTCTCACACGGGACTGAGGAAGAAAGGCCTGGGCACCAAACCACACCTGCAGAGCTGGGCCTGACTGCAGGCTGGCTGCTTCCCTCCCAATCTTGATGAGGCCTTGCCAGTGGCCCCGCACACCAAATGGCCTAGCTGCCACATTGGGGGCAAACTGATCCCTTGGCCCCAATAGGCCCCTCTAACTGTCTCCCAGAGCAGCAGCCAGGTTTGTTTGTGGGTGAAGATCTTGTGGAAATGCCTCTTGGCCAGGTCCCAGGTGGAAAGACTCCCATCTGCAGGCTAGTGACCTTGGTGAGTGCAGGCACATCCTCAGGCCACTCAGAATCATGCAGAATGTGAGGTCAGGATTCCAGACAGTGTTGCAGTCTGGACTCAACTTCCCCAACCAAGGACCTCAGAGGAACCTCCACAGCCATGACTGGCCTATGGGTCAGCGATGACCTTCAGATACAACCAGCTGTTTTTGGTCTCAGCCCACACAAGCCAGCCTGACCCAGAGTTTTGCACTCAGTTTCTCTCTATACCCTTGGGGAGCCCTCAGCATGGGTTCTGACTTGCAGCTAGCATGGGACCAAGTGGCAGCCTCTGGTAAAGGACCAGAGCAGTGGGGCCTGGCTCCCGCCCTCATACTCAGGGAGTAGACTCTGTGGAGGGGCAGATCACCTGGGGGGCAGGTGCTCTCTACAACACAGGGTGTCTGGCTGCTAGGGCCATCTGGACAGGGGGCAGGGCTCAGGGGTGGGGGCTGTCTTGGGCTAGGTTCCTGGAAATGAGGCAGGGCTGGGAGGCTAAGTACAGAGCTAGGATACAGCAGGACCAGGGTATGAGCTCAGAGGTGATGGGGAGGGCGGGACCTAGAATCCAATAGCTGCAGGATGGCTGGGTAAGTGTGGGGAAGACCCTGGCCGACTGAGGAGGGAGGTTATGAGAATATGGACATGGTGGGGGAGAACATAAGGGATGTTTGGGAGTCTCTGTATCCATGGAACTAACAAAGTGGGCTGGGGAGGGGGAGTTCCCAGAATCAAAAGAGCTCCAGGTTGGGGGACTGACAATAAGTCCTTGACAGAACTCCAGGACACCCCAGCCCTGTATGCAGTATTGAAAATAGCCCTGGTCACCCCAAGTTTGACCCTTGGATTCTGGACTGACAGTCTTAGATCAGTCCAACCCTAGTCCACCCTGACCCCTGAATACTGGACTGCTGGGCCCCCAGGTCATCCTGACTCCTCTGTCCTGGGCTGCTGGGCGCCAGGTCACCTTGACACCTGCGTCCTGGGCTGATGGGCCCAGGTCGCCCCCAAACCTGTGTCTTGAGCTGATAGGCTCCCAGATCACCTCTACAGACCCCTGCATCCTTGGTCACCCTGACACTTATGTCCTGGGCTGATGTCACCACTCCCTGGGCTGATGGGCCCCCAGATCGCCTCTACCGACCCGTGTCCTGGGCTGACGGGCCCAGGTCACCCCCAAACCCGTGTCTTGAGCTGCTGGGCTCCCAGACCCCTGCATCCGAGGCTGCCATCCCCAGGCCGCCCTGGTCGTCCCCGCCCCGCCCGCCCGCCCGCCCGCCGGCCCACTCACCTCTGGCGCTGTCCGTCCAGGCCGAGGCCGGCGGGCGCCGTCGTGGGGCTGAGCAGGCCCTGGGGCGCGGGCCTGGCCGGTAGCCCCGGGAGGCCGGCGGGAGGCGCGGACGGCGGCGCCGGCGGCTCACGGGCCTCGGCGGGCGGTGGCGGCGGCGGCGGGGGCTTCTCGCCTTCGGAACACAGGCTCGGGGGCCGCCCGTCCAGGGAGATGTTGTTGAGAAAGAAAAGCGCGGCCTGGCGGCGCCGCGAATCCCCGCGCCTCCGCGGCGCAGACGGCGGGTTACGGGCGGCGGGCGCGGGCCTGGCGGGGCCGGGGGCCGGGCCCGGGGCTCCTCCCGCCGCTGCCGCGGCCATGCTCGAGTGCGCCGCCGCGCCGTGCTGCCACGCCGCTGCCCATTGGCCGAGGCGCGCCCACATGCAAATATAGCACCGTCACCCCGGCCCATTGGCCACGGCGCGCCCACATGCAAATGAGACGTCGTCACGCTCCCCCATTGGCTAGCGCAGTGCCGCGGGCGGGCGCTTTGCCAGGGAGCTCCCCTGGGTCCTAGAAGCGGTTTAAAGGCCTCCGCAGAAGGGCGGGAGGCTGGAGCATCGTGCAGCTCTTGGGGAACCTGGCTAGCTGCTGGTGGCACCATCGGAGGCCGCGGGGCGCTATCCTTAGGCCAGGCTGCTGTGTGTGTGGGGGTCAGCGAGTGGCACTGCAGGCTGCAGACCCGGAACGTGGGCGGGCCCCGACGCACTTCCCCTTAGCTTCGTCTTGGGCTTCCGCGCCCTTGGCACTTCCGTATGTCTGGGCCGGCCCCTTGGAGAGCTCCAGGGCTCCCAGGAAAGCCAGCCGTGTCACCTGGCCTCCCTCACTGAGGAGGAGACCGAGGGTCTAAGGGCAGAAGGCACCTTCTGGGGATAGCAGCCCAGGCTGGGTAGTACTGGCCATCAGCCCCAGGCTGCAACCAGCAGCCACCCTCAGCAGCGAGGTGACCATCAGCCTGCATTGTGCAAGCCTCAGTTTCCTCTTTGTACTCTGGGTGGGCCCGACTTAAGCCTGTGGACTTCCTGTTCAGATGGCGCCTCTGCTTGGGAGCCCGGCTGTGGGTCTGACTGAGGGTGCCTGGTGTCTTTTTGGAGGGCCGTGCGCTGTGCCCGCTCTGCCCTTTGCTTATCTTTAAAGTGGACTTCAGGGGGTGTCAGGACGAGACTGGCACATTGAGGGGACACAGGGTGGCAGAAAGTCCTGGCAGATGCTTCTGTGTGTGGTCACTTCTCCCACCTGTCTTGTTCCAGGCTCTGGGAACGGAATGGAGTCTACAGTTAGGGAGCCCAGGTGAGGAGGGACAGGGAGATGGATGTGGCTCCCAGTGGTGTGAGATGACAGCCACCCTCACAACCAGTCCCCTCCCTGCTTTAGGGCCCAAGTGGCTGCCCTCACCGCCATCCCCCTCCCCACCCCAGGTCTGTACCCTTCTCTCCTCGGCCATCTCCTTCCTGTTGACTGACAAGCAGGTGGGCTCACCAGTGCCCAGTCCTGCTCTGTCTCCCTTGCCCTTCCCAGTTCGTTGTCAAGGCGTCTGCCAGGCCCAGGAGGGAAGGTGGGCTCTTTCCAGGCTGGTACAAAGTGAGGCTTGGCCTAAGTATGACGTGGGGACATTGGGCCCATCAGGCACTGCCAGGGAATGGCATTTCCACAAGATGGAGGAAGTACACAACCAGGGGTGATGGTGCCTGTTGGCCAGGGGAGCCACTTGTGTGGGCTCCAGCCTTGGCCTGCACTAGCAGCCACTACCTTCTGGCGACCTCACTGCTGATTGATGTACCTCTCTGTACCATGGGTGCTAACCATGTGCCTGGGCTCCTCTGGGAGTGAGAAACTGTAAGGCAAGGGCCCAGGGTGAGGCACACATCAGCCCTCAGTCTTTGCTGCTGACATGGGAGAAGGCAATAAGTTGGTAACCCACAGAGACACAGCTGTCAGGGGTCATGAGGAAGTATGGGCCCCTGCCTGAGTCACTTGGCTGCACCATTCACACTGGCCTCCAGGCAGCTGGCTGGCGCTGTGGGGAACTTTGACATACTGGAGGGACACTACGGCAGAAATGGGGCTTTCTTTCTGGGTCTGGTGTGCTCCCTCGGGGTACAGATGGGTGCCATAGGCCAAACCTGGCCAGAAGGTCAAAGTGGATAGGCATACAGGGCCCGTGTTTTATTTTGTTTTGGAAAAATCCCCTTTAACAACAGGCAGATCACACACACGCACACCCCTGCATTTCCCTTTTGGAATCCAGTCTCTCTGGCCTCTCTGACTGGCAAGCAGAAGCTGCAATCAGCAAGGTGGGTTGTGGTGTCCTGTCGGTCAGGCCCAGGCTGCATACTGCCTGTCATTGCGTGTATCCTGCCATCCCCATTTGCCAGGAGTTCCAGCTAAATGCATCCACTGTGCTCCTTGGTGCCATGGTCACAGCTGCCTACCTTGGCCAGAGCAGGCCCCCTCATTCAGTTGTGATGAATCCTGGCTTCTTACCAGGTGTCAAGTGCAGAGTTCTAGCTTGATACCCCTGAGGGCATGACAAGATGTGTCCTGGCTGTAGGCCAGGTGATTTCTTAGTTGTTCCCTCTGCCTGGCACCCTGTTTAGTGTCCCTCCTGGATGCCCCTTGGTCCACTTTCCTGGAGTTCTGATTTTAGCAAAATGTCCAGGACACGTTTGATCTTTGCTTACTTGACACACTTCTATTTATCTCTGAAAACCCAAATTTGAGTTTCAGGTGCCACCTCCCTTAACCTCCCCAAGGACAGCTTCTTTCTTGACCCATTACCTTCACTCCTTTGGCCACAAGCTGTCTGATGCCCAGCTGAGGCTCCTGTCTATCATTGGCTCTGGAAGGGGCAGCTCTCAAGTCTCGTGTGCAGGGTCATTACTCCTGGGGATATCTCAAAACCTCCGAGGTCCTGGTTCAGCAGGTGAGGGTGGGGCCCTCCAGCAGAGCTCAGAGGCAGCGAGATGTCTGGAGACCCAACCTCCCAAAGTGGAAAGAGCGTCCCTAGGTGTTACTGGTGGAATCTAGTGAGCTGCCCTGTAGCTGTACTGATGGGCAGACATTGGACCAGGAGCATGTCAGTGAGGAGGGGCTCTGCTCAGGCAGGTGCACACACAGCACCCCAGGCCCTTTCCAGGGACACCTGGTCCCTTTAAGGTAGCCTGTGACCAGAGCTCATGGGCTGGTTTTGTTCTGCCGTCCATCTCCCATGCAGTCCACATCTCTTGGGTCTCTTGTCCAGGTTGGGGGAGGCTGCTGGCCCTCACCCCTGCCAGTTGCACACATTGTTCTCCTTTACTTGTCTGTTCTCGCTGCTCTCTGGGGACACTGTCCAGGAGGGTACTGCTGTACAGGGCCTCCCTCTGGACACCTGTTTGCCCAGACTCCACGAGAGGGCGCTCGAGACCGTCGCTGGGAGCTCAATGCCTGGTCTAGAAGGGTCAGCAGAAGCGGCCTTCATGGGCTGGGATGGCCCGTAGTATCACGAGGTAGGGGTGAGGCAGCGGAGGTGAGGCTGGGATGGAGCCTGAGCAGTCATTGCCACGCTTCCTGTCATGCTCTCCCAAGGGAGAATGTGCAGGGCTGGGCATGGGGTTGAGGGCTGGTGGGCTATCTGGAAGTGGATCTGCAAGAGACCCCCTCCTTGGCCTTGCCAGCTCCCCTGGAAGTGGACTAGGCCCCAGGCCCTTGGCTGTGCCTGGCTGTCTAATGGGTGATTTGACCTGTCCAGGCTGCAGTTGGGCAGGCAGAGAAGTCACCCCTTAGAGAGGCAGTGCCCTCTCCTGGCCTGGCTAGCTCTCCCGGCCGGTGTTGCCAGGGGAGGGGCTGCGGTCCTGGGCACCCTGTAGGCTTCTGGGCTCCTCAGCTGCTGTCACAGGCTCCCTGGGCTTCCTCTTCCCTTGGGATGGCTTCTTGGAGGCTGTGGGAAGAGGACCGATGTTGGTCAGGAACATGGCAGTGTGGCCTTGTGTGAACTCCCTGGACTGGTTCTGTGGAGGTCTAGTGGCAGCCTTGGCTCAGGAGAGCCCGTTTTGGTGAAATCAACTGGCTACCCTCCTTATTCCTAATGTTAGCAACAAATGCCTGGGAGGGGGAACTATGAAAACTTGACACAAGAGTGGCCCTTCTCCCTAGACGTATGTGATGCTGGAGACAGGGCCTGACCTCTGCTGGATAGCCAGGGGCTCACAGTTAAGGTTCTCAAATCCCTGACACACCATGGTCCTTCATGGGCCACCCCCAGAAGAGGGTTCCACCTGGGCCCAAGCACCAGCCCTGTGACCCTGGGCAAGTCATCTCACTTCTCTGAGCCTCGGTTTCCCTCACACTTGTGAAACAGTGAAGATGTTACTTACTGGGCAAGTTTTTAAGACCCCAAAGCAGTGCTGACAACCCCCTTCCCACTCTCCACCCCACAAGATGGGTGCTGAGTTGTGTGGTGTCCTGCCAGGCAGAGTGGGTGCCTGGCACATGCAGGGCCTGGGTCTGTTCTCACTAACTGACAGGGAAAGAGTGCTGCCCATGGGGTCCCTGGTGCCTCCTGGTAGTCCCCTGCCAGCCATCTCCTACCCTGTCCTAGATGGGAAGACAAGGGTGGCTGGCTCTGCCAAGTATGGAGAGTGGGAGGTGACAACCTGGGACCCTGGTGGACTGCACCCCACCCAAGACAATTTCCACATGTGCACAGCAGGAAGTGCCTGGAAATGACACAGGTGCTCTGGCCTCCTCTGCTTGTAGCAAGCATAGGTTGTGTTGGCCTTCTGGGCAACAATGGCACATTGTGGTGGCCATGGCCCAGCCTGAAGAGTTGCAGTTCTGCTTGGACAAACACCAGGATTGCATGGTTATTAGCTTAGGTGTTCAAAGCCTCTGCCATTAGTGTGCAGAGCAGGAAGTGGAGGTTGTCCTACCACCCTGGGACCAGGGCTGAGGCTCCCTCCACCTGGGTAAGCAAGTGAGCATCCCCTAATTCTCCAGTGAGAACAGACACCCCACACCCCACAGGACATGCTTGTCACTGCTCCTGCCTGAAGGTGGACAGAGAGCCCTAGGGGGCTGCTTGTGTCCTTTCTTCCTGGGATGATGGTGATGACTGTCCCCAGCTCTCTGCTCCAGGTCCTTTACCCTTATCCTGTTGAAATTGTTTAGAGCTCTTGGTACTAGCCCTCTCACAGGTGAGGAAACTGAGGCCCAGGATACAGAATGAGGAGGGGCTGAGCTGGGCCCCTCCTAAGGGGCCTGTGCTGGAGAGGCCCAGGGTTTCTGTCTGTTCATTCCCCAAGTGATCAGGAGGAGAGGGGGTAGAGATGGTGGGGCTGTGGCTCCTCCTGTCCCACCTCCCATCTGCCTGCCCCTTGTGGAGGTACCTTTGCCCTCTGGGTCCGAGGCCTGTTTCCTCTTCTGCTGCAGAGTCTGCCGATGCCCCTCCCCTGGCATGCTCAGATTGGCACTTGCCTCAGAGCTTGGGCCCACCTGAGAGAAAGAGGGTACACTCAGGGTAAGGAACATCCCAACTCCAGCGTGGGCAGCATTGCCAGGGTCAACCTGAGTGAGTGGTCAGGGACCCACCTCGCTGTCTGAGGTGTCTGGCTCATCCATTTCACTGGATTCTGGCCTCTGTGCTCCAGCCTTGCTGGGCTCTGAAAGACACAGGGATGATGTCAGCTGGCTGGCGGCTGTCTGGCTAGGACAGGGGAAACTGCTCAGCAGGTGGAGACACTGAGGGGCAGGTAACCTGCCCCAGAGCTTCTACTGGTCAGAGGGAGCCTGGAATCTGAATCCAGGCCCAGCCTCCAACGCCGCTGGCTGTGTAAGGAAGGACCACGCCCGCTGCTGGGGCTGTCTGTTTGGCTTCTGCCAACCCTGATGGCCGGATCCCTCCTTTCACTGAGTGTGGTTGGAGACTGCTTGCCCCAGCTACGACTCCTTCCTGTCCGCAGGTAGAGGAACCCAGCCCTAGGCCCAGGGTGTGGTCACTTGGGCCAATGGCTGACCACTGCACCTCCCTCCCTACTGGGGCACCACTTCTGGTGGCCTCTCTTGATCCCAGGTGCTCACTTTACCTGGGAGTCCGTCAGCACCAAGCCTCTGTGGGTGAGGCACTGGCCTTGACTTTCCTCTGGCTTCACTTCCTGTCAGGCCAGGAGAGAGCAGCTGGAGGTGGTGTCCTAGGAGAGGGGGTGAGGCATCCTGGGGAAGACAAGTAAGTGGCTTGAATATTTTAGGGAGGAATTCCCCACCCCACTCTGCCTTGGATGTAGCCTGCAGGACCACATCTGGGCCTGCACCTGGAGGGTCAGCCCTGACCTTTCTAAAGTGAATGAGGCAGCTGGACTGCTCCCTGGCACTGACTGGGTGAGGTGGAGGGATGGAGGCCAGCCTGCAGTGGGGAAACATGGAGACTGAGGACCAGGATGGAGCCTATGGCAGTGCTGGCCCTTACCACAGGAAGGGAGGGTTCTTCAGGCTCTGGTTCTCTGGCTTCTTTGGTACCATTGCTGAGTGCCTGTGGGCTTTGAGTCAAGGGTCTGGATAGGGCAGGTGGCTCTGGTCCTTGGAGTGGCTCCAGGCTGGGAGTGTGGGCAACTTCAGGGCTGAGTGGCCCAAGTTGCCCAGTAGATTTGGGGGCATCCCGGGCCCGGGCCCAATCTGAGAGGTCCAGGGGTTTGTCTGGGGCATAGTCTTGGGTGGCTGTGTCCTCCTTTCTCTGGGGGCTGCCTGGACCTGTGAGCCGAGGGTGCCGCCTGCCAGGTGGGGCTGCTGTGGTCAGAATTGCTCTGGACACCTCACTATCAGGGCTCTCAGAGTCCAAGTCGACTGGTGGGGAGGGTGGCATCTCCCCCGGCATAGATGGGCCCCTCAGCCTGGCACTGCCTGCTGGTGCCCGTGCCCGCAGGTGCTGCTGGGCCAGGAGCAGGTGCAGTGCCCCTTCCAGCCTTGGGTCCTGCATGCCCGCCAGGGTGCTGGGCAGGCCCAGTAGACCTGTGGACTCCTCCCAGGCCTCTGCCTCTCCTGCCTTCATGCCCTGTGGCTGAGGGCTGCAGGGGTGTATGGCAGGAGCCAGGGAGCTGCCATGGGGACTCCGGAGGCACAGGGACAGGTGGCGGTTCAGGAGGCAGAGGCGGTCGGCCTGAAGGGAGCGCTTTAGGGACTCATAGGCCACGGCAGAGGGCCGGGAGGCCCGCAGGAAGCTGTGGGAGAGAAGTCCAATGGCTGCCACCCTTGGTCAGCAATGACCAGCTGAGTGAGCCCTGAGAGGGAGAGACAACAAGCACCCCATTTCACAGGGGAGGAAACTGAGGCCCAGGGGTGAGGTCACAAGGCCACGGGGAAGAGGGTAGTCTCCCAGCCCCTGCTCTGGGACACATAATATGTGGAGGGTGGTGGCCTGGCGTATGGCTGCTGAATCTCTCACACCCTCCTGGCAGGATGCCTACTGGCGGGAGTACCAGCTACCCGCCCCTTGCTACGACTGTCTGGTCTACCTGTCTACCTTCCACAACCCTTTTTGCTCTCCCAGACAATGAGACAGAAGCTTTGCATGGGCCCTTCCAAGCACACAGCCCCATTTCCTGCCTCCAGGCCTGACCACTTAGGCGGTGTCCATGTGGGAATTTTACACCATGTGGGATGCCCAGAAAAACCAAGCGGGAGAAAGGCAGCTCCTGGAGGGACAAGGAAGGGGACTTCCTGGAGAACTGCTCTGGCTGGCGGAAGTGGAGCCTCACCTGTCCAGGGGGAGGCTGTGCTCATACGTTGGGGTGGGCGGGCTGCTTCTGGTGGACAGTGGTGGAGGTGTTCCATTGGTGGAGCCACAGTCCACTGGGCAAGTCCGGGACCCAGGCCGGACCACGGCGACAGTTGCATGCAATTGGTTGGAGATTCTCTGGGGACTCTGTGAAAGGTGGGTGGATCAGCTTGGCTGGGGCCACCTGGCTTGTGTACCTCTTGCCTTCCCAGCCTCGCCTCCTCCTGTGTCAAATGAAGCTCAGAGTCCCTGCCTGGTACTGGGGACAGTCCTGCTCCATGGGAGGCTGGCTGGTGCACAGCAGGGGTGTGGCTGCCGGCCTCCTGCCTGAGTGGCCCACCAAAAGTGGTGGGGTAGAGACCCTTGCCCTCACCATGTCCGAGGCCCGCAGCTCGGGCAGGTTGGCACCCGGGGAGATTTTGGCCACTGGAGATGTCCTGAAGCCCGTCGGGACTGCTTCTGTGAGAGAAGTAGCACCATGGGTGTTGGGGAGGAGTTAGGGGTTGCTCAGTCCCGGGCAAGAGGGCTACAGGGTCCTGGGGTCACCCAGCCCTTTGGCCTCTGCCCTGCCCCACACACTTTCCCCCCATGGACCTGTGCCTGGATGATCCTCCTCGGCCTCCTCATGGACTCCTGGTGGCTTTTCAGTGACGGCCTTCCAGCTGCTGGGGGAGGGAAGCAGCAGAGGCGATGAGGGGTCTGAGGTACTCTCCCCAGCCAGGGGCACAGGTCTGTCTCTGGAGAGGAGGCAAAGGGTGGCGGGTGAGAAAAGGCAGTGCCCTAGAGACAGGAAGAAGGCCAGAGCACTCTGCCGGGGCCAGGCTGCCTCTGTGGGGATCCAGGAACCCAGGAAAGATGCAGCCCTCCACAGACTGAGAGTCCACCCCCAGTGGCTCCCATGGACGTGTGTGGGGCCTGCTGGGGGTGGGGGTCCAGTCCTGGCACCCTCTTCCACTCACTCCAGGCCCCGAAGCCGCTTCACCTCCTCCTTCAACACCTTGTTCTCCTCTTTCAGCCCGTTCATCTCGTTGGCTGCAAAGGGCAGCAATTATGGAAGCAACCAGGGAGGGGAGGGGCTGGGATGGGCAGAAGGGCTCTTACAGCACCAGGGAAGTCCCCTCCTTCTCTCGTCCCAGGGCCTGGCACACACCATGTCCCTGTCAATGCTGGCTGTGTGTGTGGCTGGTGGGGTGCTACTACAAAAGTGATGAGAGACCCCACCTGGCTCGTCCCTGGGGCTGCCTCCAGGGAAAGGGGGCTTGTCCTTCATCACCAGTGGGACAGGGAGGAGGAGGCCGAGGCTGGAGGGTGGGGATGCCTGGCCCAGAGATGGACTCAAGAGGAGACAGCAGAGCTGGCTGAGGGCTTTGTACTATGCACCTAAGAATTGGGATCTGGGGTGCCCCACAGTGGAGCCAATTGCCTTCCTTCCCCATTGCCCCCTGTAGGGCTGGCCAGGCCCGGGGTCCCTGGCCCTGTGGGAGGCAGGGGCTCACTAAGGATGCAGAGATGCTGTAGGCTCTGCAGGTGCACGCTCTCAAGTTCTAGCTGCTTCTTCTTGGCCAGCTCCTGGGTGACTGTGCAGCGGTCACATAGTCCAGCTCGTAGCCTGGGAGGTGAGATGGGGAGGGAGAGGCCACACTGAGGGGGAGTCTATGACCCTCACTGCCCCACTGCCAGGACATGCCCTGCCTTCCCAAGCTGTGTTTCGTGGACCCCCAGGCCTGTGACCACCCTGTGAGCTTAACATCCCATGTTCAATTGAGTTTGGGAAGGAATTCTCTTAAGGCTCTGAGAAGTCCTGCAGTGGACTTGGTGTCCACTGAAGGCTCCAAACTTCCTGTTTGAGGAGGTCCTTACCTGTTCTCCAGCACCCGCAAGTTCTCCTTCAGCACTTTCTGCTGCTCCCTTAGCTGGTGGTTCTTGGTGAAGAGCTCCTCCACTCTCTGTGCATCCCTGTGGGGGACAGCAGAGGTGGGGCCGCCTGGCCTGAGACCTGAGCAGCCTGTTTGAGTAAGTCCTCCTGGGGTTCCTTCCCATGGGGACCTGCTTGGGAAGTGGGATCCTGCAAGGTCGCTCCCAGACTTGAGGTGATCTTGGGACCACTGTCTTGTTCTTGTGCCATCTTAGCTATTGCATGCACACACACTGCAGTCTATGGGGAGCCTGACCTGCAGAGCATCCACGAGCAAACGAGGCTATGTCTATGTCCTCCCAATGAATGCTGTCATCAGCATAATGGTCTGATGACATGGCCCCAAGTGGAGGGCTTCCCCCTGCTCCTTTGAGGCCCATGCCCCAGGGTTCCAGTCCCAGATCCACTATGTCTCCTTGCCCAAGTGACTCCCGTCCCACCCCCGTGCCAAGCCTCAGTTTCTCTTCCGCATCTGGGATGATGGCAAGGTTGGTATCCTGGGGCTTCCAGAGGGGTCGGGGTAGACACAGCCGGTAGGAGTGGCTGGCTTTGCTGTCTGTTCTTCCCTGGCCTGACCAGGCTGACTTACCGGCACCGCTCTGAGTTCAGCTCCAGAAGCTTGTTCTGCAGGCCTGGCGGAGCAAGCAGAGGGACATGGGTTAGACCCAGTCCTGTGGCCACCCCCGCAGCTTTCCCACAGTGGAGTCTGGGCAGACAGGAGGTGGTGGTACCTCCTGCCCTGGCAGTCACACTGGTCCTCTTCATACCCCTGCCCACATGCCTGACTCCTAGGGGCAGCCCCAGCAGTGGGCTCCCCTTTGTGTCCACTGCCAGAATGCTCAGGCTGAGACTTCACCCAGTCTCTGTGGTTACCTGAGGCAGTGGTCTTGGCCCAGCCTCTCCCCTATTCCTGGGTCTTTGGCTTTGATATCTGTCTGGAGGTGGGTAGGGACTGTGCTGGAAATGACTGGCCACCTGGCAGGACAGAGAAGCTATGAAGGGCTGTTTGGGGTGGGGGGATGTTGATGAATTGAGGGAAACCCTGAATAAACCTTCTCCCTTTCTTTGGCCTACAGATGTCTGATGGGGAACTGGAAAGGGGTGGAGACTTGGGCAACCGTCTTCCCCCTTGTGCCATAACCTTTGGGTCAAGTTCTCTTTGGTCTCATGCTTGTTGCCTCCTCCGTCCCTTTCAACTTAAGCCAAAGCTTAATCATTGGAGTTCTGCAACTATAATCAGTCAAGGTGACGGCCACCTGTTCGTCCATCTCAGCAAACCAGTAAAGGCCATCTCCTCTGTTGGAGGAGCAGCCTGATCTCCCGTCTCGGGCTGCTAAGCCTCACCTGTATTCCCTGCAGCACACCTGGCTCCCTCTCACTTCTATTCCTTCTGTGCCCAAAGACTCCAAGTCTCAGGTAACACTAGTGTGAAATCAACAGACTCCATAAGACTCCTTCCCATCACATTTTTGTGATTTAGCATAGGCTAGTGGGGGCTTAGAGGTCTGGGCTCTGGACCCCGCCCCAGTGCCTAGGAAGTAGCAGCCCCCCTAGGCAGATGGAAGGTCTCTGGGAGGGGCTGGCCTGGAACTACAGTGCGTGTATGTGTGCGTGTGTGAGTGTGTGTGGAGTTGGACAGGAGTGTGAGCCTGGGGCATGTCCTAGAGGGAAGAGAAGAATGTCATCTTTGTGCCTGGAATGCTCTGGATGGGCTTGGGAGCCACAAGGTCCATCCCTAGAGGCAGATGGCCTCTCTTCTGGGAGGCACGGAGGCACCCTGTGTGAGGGGCCCTCAGGCCAGAGCTTCTGAGGCTCTTAGCTACGGTCGATGTTTTGTTTCTGCCAGTGTGACCAACCATCTGGCCGAACACAGCATGGACACACTTGGTGGGGGCTGGGCACAGCAGGTGGCCATGAGGTGTTGGCACCTCAAAGGTGTCCCTTCCCCTGAAGATGCCCTGCAGGAGGGCAGCACTGGCAGTTAAGTCTGGGCCCAGGCTGGGCTTCTTTGCCACTTCCTAGCTTGAGTCCTGGGGTCAGGACTCCCCTTCTTGGTTAGAAGGATGGGATCCCCAGATTGCTGAGAGTTGAGATGACATGTGGGAGCTCCCAGTCTGCCTGGGGCCCTCAGGACCATTTTCCCAGGTGGGGGCTGTGAGGCCCCTCTGCCTGGTCACTCACCCAGAACCTCCTTGTCATGAACGTCCTTCAGCCTGTTCAGTGACTCCAGGAAGCTCTCCATGGCTCCCCACACCCTGATTGCTCAGTCCCTGGTGTGTGGGGATGGTGGTGGCCTCTAATGCCCCTCTGTCTTCAGCCTGCAGAGGAGGAAGCGGGGCAGAGATCAGCTTAAAAAGGGCCCGTGGGCTGCAGAGTCTAGTCATGGACTGTAGGTGAGCTCTGAGGGTCTGTGTAGAGGTGAAACCCACTCAGTGCTAAGGGCTGTCCTGGGAAAGGCTGGACTAAAGGACCCGCACCCTTCTGGCAGGTGCAGAGTGTGAAAGTAGAGGTCAGCAGGCTGATCACCCTGGGGAAGGGTCAGGGGGGTGAAGAGGCACCTGGGAGTGAGTGTGACCTCTCTGAGCTCTCTTGTCCTCCTAGAGGTGTCCAGCCCACCATGTCAGCTCTACCTGGAGTGGAGTGGAGTGGACAGCACCTGCCCAGAAGGCGGGAGAGCTGGAAGTCACACCTCAGGGAGCAAGTTTGGCCCTGCTCAGTCCCTTAGGGCTCCCAGGAGCCTCCTCACTAAGCCTGCTCTGATGAGAGCACCTCTCTGCCTTCTCCCCAGTACCCTAGCCAGAGAGGGCAGGGTGGCCTCGATCCCTTCACACATGCACTGAACACATAGACTCACACACACAGATGCTCAAGCACAAAGACAGCCTGTACACACAGACATACGACACACAGCAGCTACAATGCTGAGAGACTTGGGCCTCCCAGGAGGGTGGGCTCCTCTTCAGAGGGTCTACTGGCTAGTGGCTCCCTTGCCACTGCCTGCCTCTAATACTCACAGGTCCCAGGAGGACTTGGGCAGGCAGTAGACCCTCTGTGACTCCACAGCCTGAGGCCAGAATTAAGGGGATGTGGAACCCTTGCAGGCTGGACCTGGGGAGCCTGAGGTCTCAGCACAGATAGGAGGAGATAGTCTCTGTGCCCTGAAGACACGGGAACATACTCAAAGTAGCACTCTGCAAAACAGTCCCAAACTGGAACCCCCAACACCTGTGTTCCTCTTGCCACAGGAAGAACAGCATCACCAAATGTGTGAACAGTGTGACACCAAATGATAGGGGGTGAGCTTCTGACCTTGTTTGCAGACCTGGGTTCTGGACTCCTCCAAAAGTGGGAGTGGCAGCTGCGTGGCTCTGGGTCTGTGAGTGAAGGCTCTGGGATGAAGAATTGGGAGGGCCAAGACTGGACCTTGCCCTGATGGGGGTTGTCTTTGTTGGTTAAGGGACAATACAGAATTCCAGAGGCTGAGGGAGACCAGGGCTCAGGCTAGGTCACATGACCACTATTAATGACAATTCTGGTTCCCATTTCCTGAGCTTGATACATGCTGTCAATTTCACCATAGTCATTTAACCTTGATTACATCTCAAGGGGTCTCTCTCAAGATGGGGAAAATGAGGCACAAAGAAGTCTTGTTTCCACATTGCTCATACAGTGAGAAGTGGATGCTGGACTTGAACTCTGCCGTGCTGGGACCTGGCATGTTTCCCGGTGGCTCTGTGTGCCCTGCTGTGCTAGCCTTACCTTGCTAAGGGGCCCAGGAGGTGAAATGGCTTTCTGAGGCCTCCATGGTTCAGACCACTGACAGGCTGGGCCAAGAAGAGCTGGGAAAGGGCTGAGCAGCAGCACCTGAAATTCCACCTGGACTTGCCCAACAGGTGGCTTTGCCCTGGCCCCCAGCACCTCCTGCGTGGGCTGGGATGACGCCCATAAAGGAGCCTCCCAAGGGAGTCCATGGTGCCCATGGGCCTGGGAGAGCCTGGGAGGTCCTGAGTCCACGTGTGGTGGGATCACTCCCAGTGAAACTGTGCTGCAGAGGCCAGCTTGGCAGGCTGAGGTTCCCTCCACTGAGCCTGTCCTTTCCCACCCAAGGGTTCCTATCTGCACCTCAACCCCACAGAGGCTGCGTGGCTTTGCTTCTCCAGGTCCCAAAGGACAATAGGAAACACTTTCCTATGTGCTGGGTGTGGCAGATCGACAGGGCTTACAGTGGTGGACTCAGATCCGGATAGGAGCAACTTGCAGGGACCCCATCTTGTCCCAGGGCCACAATGGGACTGGGCAAAACCATCTAGCTTATGGTGACATTGCCATAATGTGACTTTCCTGGTAAGCAGGTGGCAAAGATACACTTATCAGAGAAAAAGTGGTAGTCTCTTGGGCTCCTGCCTCCTTTAAGACACCCTCAACCTTCCTGTAGTATTGGGGGTCTAGGGCAAGGGTGGAAGATGGAGGGAGGTGGGCCTTACCAGGTGGGCAAAGTCTGCAAGCCTTAGTGCTTTGGGATGAAGTGGGTGGCTGTGGGCGAAATGAACCCAATTGTAAACACATACAGGCCCACACCCAGCAGTCTTGTGCCAGGGGTCAGAGGACTGCTCTCCCCAGTAGGCCTAGTCTGGGTTTTGGGCTTGCCAATGGTGGCTGGGGGCACTGGGAATGCAGGAAACTCCACAGATGAGATGGGGTCTCTCCAGATTTCAAGACCTGGGGGAAGCTGCAGGGGGCTGAGCACAGGAGTGTGCAGGGCTGCCTTGGGGCTGTGCAGGTGGATGGGGGTGGGCAGACACCTGAGCTCTGTGTCCTAGGGTCTCTGACAGGCCCAGGGGCACCCCTTAACTCTGGACTTCCAGGCCGGAAGGTCTCTGTTTGGACTGGAACCCAGGAAAGAGTAGGGAGAAGGACAGGACAGATCACTGCAGCGTAGGCAGTGGGGGACAGGTACAAAGTGGGTGACAACGGACGTCTTGGCAGACCTACCAGCTACTCACCAGGCCTTGCTCTCTGCCCCTCTTTGTGAAAGAGGACACAGGGTTCCCAAGGTGAGGTTTTGCCCAAAGTCAAAATTAGTGAGAGATGGAACTGGGACTTGGCTGAGCCAGGTGTACCTGTACCAGCACCTATGCCTACAGGTGAGTACTGCTGAAAACCAGCACCAGTGTACTCATTTTACTGAACAGAGCACTTCCCATACCTATACCCCTTCCCCAGAGAGACCTAGGTTAGCCCTCCATCTTGAACTGAAGACTGATGGGACCACCTTCCTCCTCGTGTCCTCTGCAGGAGGGCACATTCTGCAGGTCCTGCCTGCCTCCCAGAGGTCCCACTCGATCCTCAAGCCCCCATCTGCCCCTCACCTCCCCCTACAGCTGGCTGGGGCACCAGCCTGGGCAGAGGGTGTGCCCTCTTGTCTTTCGTTATCCTCTGTGTGGCCTTGGGCAAGTTGCTGTACCTTTCCTCATTTAGGGGAAATGATACACCCTGCCCCTATCAGGTTACTGCTTGGCCTCCACCGTTATCACTCAGCTCCCACCGTTACTGTCTGTTCCAGGTAAGGCAGGTAGCTGGTGCACAGTGCATAGCAGAGGGGACCCTGAACCTTTTGGTGCCTCCCTCACACACAGCCCCCAGGTGGCTAGTACTGCCACTACAGGAGCCTTCCTCTTGTGACAAACCCAAGTCCCATGGCCAGAAAGACCTATAGGAGGACAAGTCCATCCTCAAGTTCAGGGCAGAGGCTTGGGATTCTTCTGGGAGCAACAGGAATGCAACAGGAATGACCGTTGCTCACTGGGGACTGGGGACTCACTTCAAGTCCCTTGCGTCTTGGTGGGTGGACACAGAGAAGGTACCATCTGCACTCTGTACAGCCCTCCACAGGATGGGCGCCCTCTGGCCCAGTGGCAAAGCCCACAATGGTGCCCATCTGTGTCCAGTCTCTGGGGCAGGGCCAGTCCTGAGTCCTGCCCTCTGGGAAAGTGGGACCCTGAGCTCTTCATGCTGGTTGGGGACATTGCCGCCTCCTGCCCCTTCCTGGGTGGTGAATTAGGAGCTGCCTGGCACTGGGGTCCCAGTGACGTCTGCTCAGGCTGGCTGTCGCTCACCCCCTCTAGCAGGGCTTCCAGAAGAGGAAAGCTGAGGAACCCTGATTCTGTTCCTTCTCTAAGGATGGGGGGGCATTGGTCTGTCTGTCTGACTGCCCACCTCCCCACAGAACAGCAGTAATGACAACAGCAGTACTGCCACTGCCCATGGGCCTACCCTGTCCCCCACATTGCACCAGGTTTTTTTTTTTTTTCTGGCTCACAGATGTTAAACCCTTCATTTGTTTTGCTGAGATGGTTGAGCTGCAAACCATTGCCTGGCCTGTGGTCTGTCCCTTACCAGGTGCCAACTGGTCCCCCATTCCCCATCTGCTTTCTGCCCAGGACCATCCAGGTCCAAGCACACCATTGGAGCCCATTAAATGTCTACGGCACAAGTGTTTGTGGAACACTTACTGTATGCCCAGCTCAGCACATAGGTGCAATCGAGACCCACTTGGCTTTGAGGAAGCGCTGACTGTCCTGTTCTACAGATTCGGACACTGAGGATTGGAGCAGATAAGAGGCAAACAGGAGGCAGGATTCAAACCAGTGTCTAGCTGGCTCCAGCATTTCCTTCTACCCTCTGTGTGGGGGACTTCTGTAGTGATGAGCAAATCCTCTTCCATAATGAATTCTGTCAAGTCACTTGTCTGGCTGTGCCTGTTTCCCCATCCATAAAGCAAGTGAGTCCTGAATGGGGTTGTGGGAGTCTGGAGGGACCCTGGGCTACTTGAGGATGTCAGGGCTCCTGGCATGTGGTGGGCACCCTAATGCCTGATGCAGCGATCTGTGGCTGGGGCCAGGCAGAAGTGGAGCACTTCTAGCTCCCATGTGCCAGGACCACACAGTCACTTCATGGTCACTAGTGTAGTGGCTATAACATGTCTCTTTTATAGATGAGGAATGTCACCCGACCGCAGTCTTCAGCTCACAAGGCATGTAGGCTAGACACAAAGAGGCTCTCCTAGTAACCACCTGGGCCAGTTCAGAGTGGTGGGCCATATCTAGAGGGTGTCCCTGTCAAGATGGCCCTGACATCCTCCCAACACACACATTCTCACTCAGAGAAACCCATGTTTGTGCACATGCCAAAAACAAACACCCGTGCACAGCCTCATCCAGCCCTTCCTGGCCGTGCACACAG